ACCGATAAGTGGAAGACCCTATCATATAGGGATGAGCAGAACTAAATAAATATAATTTACTTCAAAAACGTAGGTGAGCAATTAGTGCACAACTGCTCAATTAGCGAGCTTACTGAGGGACCAGTCATTATTTATGGGGGGTCACTGAGGAGAAACATTTTCTTAGCCAATTTTTTAGTGACCCAACCTTCAAAAAAAATTTTTTTTCTCCACCCAACCCCAGCACTCATTTCAGAAATCTTAGACCCACCCTACTTAATTTTGTCAATTTACTTATTTAAAAGCTAAATTGACTTATTATAAAAGCCAACAAGTATGAATTCTGTCACTTTATCATGACTGTTATGGCAGGTTCAAATGGAATACTTTGCAAATCGATATATAAAGTAAATGATATTTATTCGATCTTAATAAAACAAATAATACAAATATTTTAGTATTTTCCGATTTAATGATTTTTACTTTACCCATCGCCCCCGCCGATTTTACTTCTTTACCCATCATACTTCGCCTCCACCCCCACCGCCATAAATAATGACCGGTCCTAAGCAAGCGACGTTTTTGTCAACATGGACGTCCATCACGATTGTCAAGGGGGGACTGGACTAAAAACTGTGTTTTTTTTGGGTTTTTTTGTTTTTTTTGTCAGTTTGTCGTAATCTTCAACACATGACAAAACATACGATTTTAAACTGAAGTTTTTTGCTTTCTTACACAAGTGCTATGATGCAAAATGCCGCCAAAATTAGTTCTACCAATTTTTGTGTGTCGTCCTTATTGAAAAAAAACGTCGCTTGGCAGCTTAAACTCACGATTGACAATGCTCAACTGCTCAATAGCCTTCCATAAATTTTCATTTACCTTTGTCGTTGATACAATTTATAGACTTTAAGACGAAATGAAATACGCCAACATCGAAACGATGGATTGATAGATCATGTCAGGTTACTTTTGCAGTATATTCTCACATTCGTTACCCAGCTGGGCAACTATATTCCACGTCCGGAATTTACTGGGATCGTGCAGAGAATTCGCGACGACATTACGGAGGTTCGGTCTGGCTTGGCCGAGAAGTTTGTCATGGTTGTCGGAAAGTTGACTGGCTTGGAAAGACGGATTGAAGGTTTGGAGTCCAGTGGTGGGGGTGATACAAGAATCAGGCGTGAATTGCAGGAGCTGAAGAATAAAGTTCGAGACCTCACTACTGAAGTGAGAGATAAGGACGCTATTATTGATCGTTTGGAAAGTAGGATGGATGAAATGGAGGAAAGGGCCACAGATTTGGAATTTCGACGTGCTCGTCAACTTTAAATCTAATAAAACACTCCTGCTCGTTTTTTAAATAGTACATCAACACGGAAAATGTTTTATATTTGTTAAGGATAAACTAGAGTGTAACTGCGTAATAAGCGTATATAATTACTGACCGTCATAATAACCTATTGTTTTCTCTCTGCATTATATCAGCGCATGTCGAGAAGTTTTAACGTGAACATCTCAAGATGAGAAGGTGACAGTGCCTCATACAATATCATCAGAAGCACTGCCAAAACGGTTACTGTGAGACTGTGTCACTGTGAGTCCTTTCAGCTCAACTTTATAGAGAAATAGTTTCGTTTGCGCTTGTGGGATTTTATCCTAGATATACGCATGTGCAGAACACACCATAAGTTCTATTCCCGTGTTTATCCAGTTTAATACGCTCTTTGAACTAACCTTATCATTAATGATAATATGTAAACTAGAACACTATAATTGACCTCCGCTTGTGGAGATTTTAATTTAGGGCGATTAATTAAACTGAAATCTGTTCTATCACGATGCATTACATGCATGTCCTCACAAATGTCTAGTGGCGTTGGATAGATTCATTGTCATCCGGTCCCAACAAGCAGCAACGTAGTCTTCCAGCCGAAAATAATTATTTTTGATTCGGATCAGTAATTATAATAGATAATTACTGAGGCCAAACGGCATTATTCGATACATTGCAGCCAGCTTCGGCCTTCGGCCTCAGCTAGCTGCAATATATCGAATAATGCCGTTGGCCTCAGTAATTATCTATTAAGTAACGACTAACGATGATTTAGAAAGGCACAAACTAGATTTATATATGATACCAATGGACCTTTCCCCTCATAACTAAAATTTCGATCTAGACAAAAATTTCATCACAGCTTGAAAGAGCATCACAAAATTAGTAATATTCCAATTAGTTTTGTTGCAAAATCTTGTAAAATGCGGATAATATAGCCTTGCGAAGTTTGCCGTTTTTCCGTCATTTTTTATTACAAACGGGAATTGACATCCGATTCGGGCGTTGGGGATGCAATTTCCCGTTTGTAATGCAAAATGACTGAAAATTGCAAACTTCGCAAGGCTCTATTTTCCTCATTGCAACGAAACTTTGGAATATTACTAATTTTGTGATGCTCTTTCAAGCTGTGATGAAATATTTGTCTAGACTTGCCTAGATCAAAATTTTGGTTATAAGGGGAAAGGTCTATTGACTTAGAAATTTTACTTGCAACATCTGAAATATGAGATTTCCACCACACATTTTCATCTAAAATGACACCAAGGAAAGCAACCTCTTTGACCATTCGTTAAAAGCAATTCTTTGACCATATTAATTTTATGATCATTCAACTTTATCAGCAAATCAATATTCGATCTTTTCTACCTGGGTTTATAAATCATATAATTAGATTTTTTAATATTGTTATAATAATGTGTGTAATTATATTGTGTTATATGTGTGCTGTGTATGCGTGCAGTAAACCGTGAACAGAATATATTAAAGTACAGTGAACAAAAGCATGCAAATTAGTGTGACTGTGGCTGTCGAGCGGCAAGGTTGTTAACTTGCTCGCTGTAAGTTTAAATAACGTTTTTAAGTTTATCTCGGGTATAACTAATTTAACGAACTTGGTACGTAACATTTTGGCGACCCCGCCAGGACTACAAAGATGAACACTCGGGCTACGAAGAGAGATTTTTCAGACGATGAAGAACCCGACCTGAATGAGCGTAAACAAACCGGCAGCATTTTAGACGAGTTGATTAAGCAGCGACTGCGAACAGTTATCGAGCAAAACGACGTACATATGCAACAGGCAGAGAGATCATAAGTCAGTACGAAGAAAGAATCGAGGAAAAACAAGAGAATCTCGTCACAAGTGTGGGGAAAGTAAACGGCGGTATTGTTGCTCTGGTTGAAAGAATAGAGACAATCGAAATGCGGGATAACGCGTGGGATTTAAACGAGAGTAAAATCCAGGCAGTTAGTGCGGAACTAACGACTCGCGTTCAAGCATTATTTACGAACGAATTAAAGTCGGCTGATACAAGTGTCAGGAGATATGTTGGAGAATTGGAGTATCAAAACCGAGAACTTTTTAAAAGAATTGAACGCCTGGAAAACGAAATGTTGAGTCTAAAGGCATCTCTGACGTCTATGACAGAGCGCACTGAAGTTGGGTGCTTAAATCTTATGCATACGTTCTTTCTTCCCCTGTGGCATCGATTTTCAACGCTTCGATTCAAGAAGCAGTTGTACCCTCAATGTGGAAAAAAGCGAACGTTATCCCTGTTCCAAAAAAATCAGTCCCTAAAGACATTTCTAAAGATTTGCGCCCTATCTCACATACCCCCACTTTATCCAAAATTTGCGAACGGTTTGTTACAGACTGGTTACTTAAGTCAATTGGTGCAAAGATTGATACGCGGCAGTTTGGCTCCGTTAAAAATTCCTCGGCTACCCATGCCCTACTGAGCCTGATCCATCACCTCCTGAGTGCTACAGATGCTTCAAGCAATGCGGTGAGAGTATTCTTGCTTGATTTTGAAAACGCTTTTGATCGAATAGATCACTACATACTGGTGAATAAGCTACAACAAATGAGTGTTTCCCAAACCATTATAAATTGGATTAGAAGTTTTCTCTCTGATCGTAAACAACGAGTCAAGTTGGCTAACTGTCGGACTGGCAAACGTTAAACGGTGGAGTGCCGCAAGGGTCGGTGTTAGGGCC